ATGTGTATATAATACATAGATATATATTTTATGGAACTAAGGAAAAGTTTGAAAGCCTGTTATCATCTCTACCGGCAGCCGTAACACGGAATGAAAACAAATTCCGATGAGATTTACTTTGTTAGGAAAAGAGAGCAAGCAAAAGCAACAGCAGCAAGCAGCTAGCAGCATCCCTACGAAAGAGAAAAAGGAGAAGAATACACGCTACGCATACGTTTCTCTTACATATTTCTTCCATTTTCATAGAAACCGTTTGTAGAATGCCAAGAAGAACGATAATTCATGTCAGTTTTATATTCGAAGAAATATGTTCCAATGATTTCTTACGATTTTGGCAATATATTTATCTTAAATATACGCTTGTATGTATGTATGAATATCTAATGTATATGTATGTATATATATGTGTGTGTGTGTGTGCATGGATAGAATGTAAATTCCCTTTTCGAAATGAGATTTCGTTGCATCATAATTTTTATTTTTTTTATTTTTTTTTTTAGTTTTCCATTTTCTTTCTCTCGTTTGTTAAATGACACACCAAAATGTCCGACAACGAATTTTTCGCTTTCTACGAAATGAGTTAACTTAAAACTAGTTCGATAAAAAAATACGTATTTTCACGTTTTCCTATTGCACATTGTAAATATATCTATATATGTATATATTGCGATTAGTTAAGATAACGTTATTGTACATGTAAGCAACATGAGGTAATCTTTGGGTGAGATTACATTCAAACATACTAATGTATATATGCATTTATGCATATAACATTTTTATACATTTATATTATGCAAAGTGTTGAACAATCGTTCGATGTTGCTAATGGTTTCCTTTTTTTTTTTACTTTTTATTTCTTTTTTCTATTTGAATTATAATTCTATTAAAGATATTAGAAGAAAATACCAGTTTCATCGATATACTAATTTTGTTTCTTTTATTTTATTTTATTTTTCTTATTATGGCAGAACTCACATTGCGTAATTTTATTTTATTTTAATTTATTAGTTTTTTTTTTTTCTACAAACGATCCTTACGTTCTTTTCACATGGTTATAATAAAATAATAAATTAAATATAAACTATATAATATGGCCGTTGTGTAAGAACAGTGTTGTAAAAACAATTAAATTAATATAATAATAATATTTTTCGTTGGTTTGACTTTTTGCAGCATCAAATACAGCAGTTACCGCAGCAGAATAATTTGCAACAAAATAACGCTCAAGGACTGCAACGGGACAACATGCCTAGAGGAAAGGATTCCAAGCCTAGGGGACGAATGACCGCATACGCGTTCTTCGTTCAAACCTGTCGACAGGAACACAAGAAGAAACATCCTGAAGAAAAAATCATATTTCGTGAATTTTCAAAGAGATGCGCGAATAGGTGGAAGGTAAGAGAAAACAGGATTTACTTTTGATTTATTATTTCATCCCCATTTCTAAACAAACATCAGAAGAAGAAGAAGAAGAAAGACGTTCATTTTCTAGTTTTTTTTTTTGGTAAAAACTTCTGTTTCCAGGGGGCTTCCCCGGAAACTGCCATCCCCCACTCCTAACCCTAAATTCTCGTTTGTTCCTTTTTTTCTTCGGATTTAGAAAACAGAAAAAAAGAATTCACGTAATTTTTCTTTGCATATTATCATCTGGGAGTAGAATTGCTACGTTTTCTGGTCTTGCCCAACGCTATTCAGCAAGAAACCAGTTTTAAATAGATATAAATATGGGATCTCGACCGTGGAGGAATGTTACTCTGGAATTCTTGTTCTCAGCTCCGAGATAGCATTGAGCATTATAGCCGGAATGAGAGAGAAGTTCAACTTTTAGCATGTTTAAAATACCCCACACTAGAGAGAGAGATATTGAATTAAACAACATATACAGAGTGAAGGACTTTTTCTAAATTGATCACACCCCATGTGTAGTTTTATTCGTGTATATTATGTATATCGTAATTCGTATGAACAACTTTTTTCGAAATGCCGTGCATTTCTCTCTCTCTCTTTCCCTTTCCCCTTCCCCCAACCCCCATTGTCTTTTTTAATTCCGACGAATGCGTGTACGACTTGGCATTTACAAATCTTATTTTCACAGTTAAGAAGAAAATTTATACGATAGCCTTTCTTCTTCTTACACTCATGTTCATAGATTTTTTTCTTATTTGTTTGTTTCATAATTCTGGATTAGTCAATAAAGTCCCTAGATGATTTTAAAAATCATTTATCCCCACTTTTTGTATATACAAACTTTAATTTGCAAACTTAAACAAATTTCAAAATAAAATAATGAATTTTTGTAAATCATTTAGGAACTTTTTGTTGTATTCTAACTAGTGACTTTTTACACGCCCTAATTATTATATACACGTATTTATTTCATCAATTTACAAACAAGCAATTTGAAATTGAAGATAACGATGATAAATATTTGAAAGGGGGTTTCTCTTTTAAATTTTTCACGAAGTCATGATAACGAACGAGTTTTTGCTCGTTGAAGAAGAAATTGCTTTTCTCTGGTTGGCGTGGCCGAAACGCATAACACGCAGGACACACACCACACCCTTTCTTCACCAATTTTTCATGTCTCGATTCCTTCTTCTTCTTATTCTTCTTATATTTCTTCTTCTTCGTACCTGTATTACGGTAACAACCGTTTATTTTCCTGAGAATACCTTATTGGCTCGGTTAGTTATTACGAAAAAGTAAAAAAAAGAAAAAATGGTTCTGTTCGAAAAGTTTTTTTTTTAACCACAACCGGAAAATTACAATTATTATTGCTAAAATTATTTCTAGGTACTATGATTAATAATAATAGAAATATATTTCGATCGAAAGAGACACCCTAGAGGAAAAAAATGTCGGCCATTTTGAAAAATTCAATTATTGTTTGATGAAAGTCATATTTTTGTTCAAGTCACGTCAGAATTTTTATATAAAAGAAAAAAAGAGAAAAAGAAGAAAGAAAGTATCGAACATATTCCTGGCGTTAATAAAATTCTTGCATTTAATAATAAAAAAAAAAAGAACTCAAAACGCATGCGCGAATGAAAGTCGAGTTTGGTGGACGCTTCTTTTCTTGTTTTTTGATTTCTTTTTACGGGAGAATGTTCTTTATTAGCAATGTAAAAAAAAGAAAAAATATGAGCAGGTGAATTTAAACGTGGTCGTACCAGCTTGGTTGATGATGAGCGTAAAGGGACAGCCAACAATTGCGACCACCATCGATAACATCGAATGATACACGAATGAAACGAGGTTAAATAGGGAAATGGCAAAAACTTCGTCATAATATTAAAAGAAACGCGTTCATCATATTTTATACATAAAGAATAATCGAACTTTACAATTTTTATTTTATTTTATACAAATTTCAAACCATGAAATTATATTCACAGTTGATATATTGACATTAGTAGTTACTCTCTTTCTCTCTATTTCATTTCCTTTTCAATCAAATTTGTGAAGAAGTCGAAGTTGTATAAAATATATATGCGTGTTTGTTGAATTACAATATATCGAAAATTCGTATTCGAGAGAATACACTTTGATCTTAACCATAGGTCGAGAAGCGATACACACACACACACACCATAAAACGTGTATTTGAGGTTATTCCAAAAATTTCGGACTTTGATAATTGAAAAATTATATATAATTGTTTTTCTCTTTTTTTTCAAGCTTAAGTTTTTTTTTAAGTTAAATTGGCATACTTTAGGAACCATATTTGTTTTTTTACAAATTTAATCTTAAAAAAAAGAAAAGTAATTGACTTGAAAAATTATCTCGGGACTTTTATAGAACTTTTGTGATCTACTTTATATGCATAAAACATAATTTTATATTATTACGTTTCACATTAACTTTTATATCTACGTCTGACAACTCACGTGGGGTTTTTACTGTTGTACATATTATCGATTATTATATGTGTCTCTTTCCTGAGAATAACTCGAAATAGAACTAATGTTTTACCTTTAAAAATAATTTAACCTTGATAAAAAGACTAGTACTACTACTAGTAGTTACTATACCTAACTTAACTTTTATTAATCTCGACAAAACCTTCTTTTTAGTTTGCTGGTGTGATGATGTCCTTTTTAAGGATGTTCAAGTACCTTTCATCTTCTTTTTCTTTTCTTTTCTTCTTCTATACTTCTACTTCTACTTCTCTACTTCTTGCAATCAGAAACTTTCTCGTAGAATTCAATAGATATCGAGTATATTCAACAGGTCCCGCTCTACTTAACGCGAAGTTTAAAGAAGTCTTGTAATCGAGATGAGAATTTCTGATAGATAATTCACCTGGAATTTAGTCGTCCTTTATCCAGAATAATACTAAGAATTTTAGATTGTCTTCCATTTTATTATTTTTCTTTTTTTTCCCCTTCTCTTATACAAAAGTATTTTCAAAATAATAGTTGAATTATAAATCTTATACGACGATTAAAAAGATAGAAAATATTTTTATTCTTTTAATCAAATAAATAAATNAATATATATATATATATATATATATATATATATATATATATATGTATATATAATTATCGAGAAAATTAATTTGATCATTGCAGTATTTTTAATATAGGAATCCATCTTGTTTTTTTTCTTCTTCTTTTATTACAAATTATTTTCAAGATAATAATAGGTCAAGTCACAGATATGTTACAAAAAGATATAAAATATTATTTTAATGATTGGATTATATATATATCGAGATTAATAAAAGTTAGGTTAGGTATAGTAACTAGTATTTAATTACTATATATATGTTATAAAATATTGCAATTATTATTTATATAATGTTTTTAATGTGGAAACAAACTCATATTGCATTTTTCATATTCTTATTGGCCTTTCTTTTTCTTGATTTTCTTTTTTTTTTTTTCTTTTTTATCCCTCTTTTGGTACTATCACAACGATGAGGAGATATTTTTATAGGATAAGGGTTGCGCTTCGAAAATCGATACACACTCGAGAGCAACGTGTGTGCATGAGAGAGAAGTTGAAGGAATCCGAACGATTTTATGTTTTTTTTTTTTTTTTTTTTTAAATCGGATCAATCACCATCATTTGTATCTTTATTTGTAGATACATATATACGTTCGTTATTCTTTCTCTCTATCTCTTCCGTTATCATTTTTTTCATTTTTAAAACATTTATTCCAAGATTTTATTGATAGGTGCAAAGGTCATTTAATTATCGACAGTATTAAGAGAACACTTCATTCATTCGATTATAAAATTAAAAAGAAAAGAAAAGGAAAAAGAAACATGCAAAAGTTATTTAGTTAGTACAATTTGAATTGATAACAATTATTGACTTACAAATTCTAAAGTCGTTAATAATTTTATCTTTTTTACCGATACTTAAATGATAACCTCAAACAGTTCCTAGATGATATTAAAAATTAATTACTTTTTCTTGTCTTTTTTTAAAAACTCAATTGAACAATTTTAATATCTGAGAAATGTCTACAAAATTGTAGAATAAAAATGAAATAAGTATTTTATTTTTTTTTTTTAATTATATAGAAACATTTTTCATATAAAATTTTAAGTTTTTGTAATTTTACAATTCTAAAAGTATATTAATAATTATATTAAGAAAAAGAAATAATAAATAATAATAAATTAATATATTAATAATAATATATTAAATAATATAATATATTTATTTTATTTATTATTAAATATATAATAATATATTTAACACTAGATATACCACCATTTTCAGTATACCTATTTCTACCACACTAGTAAAAATGACTGGTGTATAAAAGAAATGCTTTTTGAGGCTTCCAATCTTTATTTACTCTTAAAAAATAAAAAATGTTTAACAATAATAATTTTAATAGATAATAAATGGATTTATAGATATTTTTAAATAACAAAACGCTTAATTATTTACAGAACTCAAATGTTACATGAAGTAGAAATTTTGAATTAAAATGGCCCGACCAGTCAAAATGACTGGTCTGGTATATCTAGTGTTAATAATATATTAAATATATAATTTAATATACCAAAAAAAAACACTTTTTGAGGTTACGTCAAATTTGGTGTACAATTACATTGAATATTTTTGTTGATCACGTGATTTAATTATAAAATACTAAAATACTTAATTTTATCTTTAAAAACATAGGATTATCTTTTATCGAGTCACTTCATTGAGCTATTTATTGAACAAGCAATTTTAATAAACCATATATAGAGAAAAGATTTGATTTATAAAACATGTCAATGATATCTTTGTTAGTATTAGTTGCGATTACATTCTCACACATACATTTAAACAATAGTTACATTTATATGTATCAAACTATGTGCTGCAAGCCAAATATAACAATGACATGTAACGTTGTTTCTCACGTTTTTACCGAGTTATGTATTCATAGAAATAGTTAGTGTTTCTTATCTTTATCGAGAAAAGAAGAAAAATGTAGCTGGTTTATTTATTTATTTTTGTTTTGTTTAAATTTATGAGCCTTATGAATAGTTTACATTTACATTAACATATATGCTTATAATATAAATGCCAATACATATGCATATACGTGTATGTATGTATATGTGTATGCTTGATGATGATACCACTCAAATCAAAATTCAGATTAGATTTAAAAAAAAATTGTATTACGCGCTTTAGTTGATAACATAAATAATTTAAGTGCGTTGTACGATTTATATATATATATGAATATTAACAAATATTCTCATCTTGGAAGAATTTCTTAATAATTTCTTAAGAATTAGAATCTCACGAAATGTTCAAAGTTCGAAACGATTGTATGATTTTGAAATCGAGTATTTAACGTTTAGCAATATTCGTATTTATCGGATGATTATTATTTGAAAAGAGTTCAGAGAACGTACGTATAGGCAGGCCAGCGTGTGCTTTTCCTTCGAGGCCTTGCACCCGCAGCGCAGCAGCTGGTGCATCGGTCAGCGCACCCTCGTCGTCGTCGTCTTGGTTCTGCAGATAAAAGTCATCAGGTCTGGCTCACGATGCGCCGATGCCCCGTATCAAATTAAATTTACTATTATTTCTTTATATAATTCAACAATTTTCTTTTTAAATTATTTTATTGAATTAAATAATATTTTTTAAATTAATTTAATAAATTTTTTTAAATTATTTTCAAAAATGATTCTAATAAGATTATTTTTTAAAACTTTGAACATAAAAAATTCTTCTATAATTAAGACCCACTTCTTCTCAACAATACTCTTATTATTTTTTCTAACGAAATTAACGTAGGGTTTTTTTTTTAAATAAATAATACAAGTATGCGCATTAATTTACGTGAAAGAAAAGAAATTAATTTATATATGTATAGAGAAAAAAAAAACCCGAGACCAAATTTCATTAACAGCTTTTCTTTCTCCCTTACAATTTCGTGCGCGACAGAAAATAATTTTTCATGCAAGTTTCGATTATTTTTCGAGATTAAAAAAAAAATAAAAATAAAATATATATATTTATAAAAAAAGGTAATACGATTGAAGAGAGAGAGAAAGAGAATATACGCCGAGGAAGAGTTTATAATCGTTTTTGTTCGCCATCTTTTTCTTCCTACACGAGAAGTAACATATATATGCATATATGCATATACGCGTACTTCGTTTTAATGGCCGACGCTTTAATGGCCGCCGTAAAGTACTACGCTAATGAATTAAATTCTATATGATATCTTCTACGATATGTGAATAAATATTGAAGAAGAAAAAATAAATAATAGGAAGAAAAAAAACTTTTTTTTTTCCTACTTAAAATTTATAACCAATTAAAAAGAGAGGTAGAGAGAGAAAGAAGTATGTGTAGTTCTTGTCACGCAGTATGTAATAACATATTTAGTTTCTTTAATAAAAAAAATAAGGAAAAAAATAATACAAAAAAGAAAAATAAGTAAAGTAAAGTAAAGTAAAGAAAAAAGAAAAGAAAAGAAAAGAAAAGAAAAGAAAAGAAAAGAAAAAAAGTTGGTTCTATATTCTCTTGTGCTTTTTATTTTAAATAATGTAAAAGAGCTCGGCCAGTCGAAAGGACCCTTTGGACCGTGGCACGTACCCTACGCTATTCTATCGACCAGCCCTAACGTGTGCCACCTCTTCCGTTTTTTTCCTGTTCCCCACTCTCTCTCTCTTCTTTCTCTTTTCCACCCCTTCTTCATGTTCTCTTTCTCTTTTACCCTCTCCCATTTTCCCTACTCCTCCCTTTTTCCTCTTATCCCTTCTATATATACTTTTCTTTAGCTGAGAACGTTTACTCCCTTTCTTCTTTCATCCCCCACCCTTCAATTCCCCTCTTCTACCTCGCAAACGGCTAATTTTCCTATTTAGCATATGTGTATGTATTTCATAATAGAAAGTAAAATTAAATTGGCTTTATTTAATGATAGAAAAAAAAATCACATTTCTTACAACTGATGTAGAATTACAATTTTTGATGTATTAGAATCAATTATATTGACTTAAAGTTGGTTTAGAGAAAAAATGATGAAATTGGGTAAATAAATATGTTCTAACAATTTTTAGATTATCTTTATTTTTTAAGAGATTTGTATGATTTTAGAAAAACATGTGTGTTTACCTATCTTTTACAGACAATGTCAGACAAAGAAAAGAAACGTTTTCACGAAATGGCAGAAAAAGATAAGAAAAGATACGACGCGGAGATGCAAAATTATACGCCTCCTAAAGGAGAAAAGGGCAGAGGAAGGAAACGTAAACATATTAAAGATCACAATGCACCTAAACGATCACTGTGAGTATTTGAAATCCTATTCACTGGGAAGTTGAGGATACTTTCAAAGATTACAACATAAGATTTGATATAACATTCTGTTTCTTTTTAGATCTGCCTTCTTTTTGTTCTGTAACGATGAACGTGGTAAAGTGAAAATGTTGAATCCTGAATATGGTGTAGGAGATATTGCTAAGGAATTAGGTAAAAAATGGTCGGACGTAGATCCCGAAACCAAATCTAAATATGAGGCTATGGCAGAAGAGGATAAAGCTCGATATGAAAGAGTACGTAAATATGTATTAGAAGTATAAATGACCTAGTTTAAAAGAATAATAATTAAAATATGATCGAAGGAGGCGTAGCGTGGTGTGACGGTGTTAATTTAAAAGTTACTAATTTTAAAAAACTATGTTTTAACAGGAAATGACAGCATACAAAAAGAAAATGAAAGACGGTGTACCAGTGGTTGTAGAAGCGCCACCTGCAAATACTGTAAAAAGCGACAGTGAAGAAGAATGGAAGGAAGACGATGAATAGCGGCTGCATGATAAAATGTCATCTATCACCCCGTGTCCTTGATCCTAAAAGCATACCTCACCTACTGTACGTACCATTGACCTTAGCGTGAGTGTACTTACACCACTAGGAGAACAAATAACTAACCATGAGTCCCCAATTATTTACATAATAATTGAAAATACACGCGTTTATAATAATTATTTTAAAACTTGTGTGCATGCGCTATGTGAAAGGAGATCGTATGAATGACATTTGTATTTTAACATATTGATTAGCAACATGTAAAGTGTCATAGCATAGAGAAGTGAAAAAAGATGGTGCCCACTTACTGTGTGAGATGGAAGGCGCAGGGGCTCAATCATTGTTGACTTTGTCTCCACATCATGTTAAAAGCTAATTTAGTTAGTAATGACAAGAAAAAAGAAAAATAAGATTCACTAGCCTCGTTGTTAACAAAAAAAAAACTCTAATGGTTTTGTGAAATTTATCAGTTCAGTTCATTTGCTGCCAGAATATAAGAAGAGACTAATGTTGTATATCCTTGTACAGAACGTTTCTTTAAATCAAATTTCTCTCAGGTAGGGCATGGGGCTGCTTTGTATGAGTGTAATTGATTTTTATATATGTCAAGAATATAGCTGTAAGTAATTAGAATAAGTATACTTAAACACAACGTCGATATCGTACATTCACATCAACGTGTGATAGTTTTCACTAATGGTGGATACTAAAGCCACGTGATTGAGCCTTGTAGTTTATAAGCAATTTGAATCGAGATAAAACATGTAGTTCACAGCTTTTACAAATCAAAATTAGGACAGTATATTCCGACAGTCGTCCTATAACTTACAGAGAGGGTGCTGCTCGTTGTTGCATGCACAAAAAGTCGAAATTTTATTTACGTGACCGTGCTGCAACCACCAACACCGCGATTTATCGAGAAAGGATTACACAACATAACACAACACAGGATAGAGACAAAAAAACCCTAATTTTACTTTGTATAGTGACTTTGATCATTAAGTTTTACTATAAAACAAGAAATATGTAAAGATGATTTATGTTTTTTATTCATTTTGATGAGAACCTTCTTCGTAAATGGCAGTTGTTTAAGTAGACAAATATTGTAATTTTTATTTTATTTTATTATCATTCTTTTTTTTTCCTAATGCGTAGAAGTGGTCCCCCTGCCCTTACCATCGTCATCCTCCCTCTCATATTCATTATGTCAATAAAGGAAATACTTAAATCCTATCCAAACCATTTTAATTCCTTTAATTGTTCGAGAAAGCAAAGTTAAGAAGCGGGCGTGTTTTGTACTGCCTTGAGTCGTCATCTGGTGTACTGCAGGCTGTATTATAATAAATTATTGTGGTTTCTTGTAATGTTAACATTCCTAGAACTTAGTATGTACAGATCCTTATCATTGAAATTAGTGCAAACTATGATGTGGCACACAGATGAAATAGGTCTGGTCACTTGTTTTGTGAATTTGTTAACCAGATCAAATAAGTGAAGTGAATATATAAAAAAAAAGAAAGAAAAGAAAAAAAAATAATACAACTTTAAGAAAAAAAAAAGGCTTTCCTACAGTCAGACTGACTTGCACCTTGATTTGGCTCAGCAGTTAGCCATCATTTTTCTCAACATAAAAAAAAAAGTAAAGCTCTTCATCTTCCCCCCTGATACATTGTCATGTAATGAATAATTGTATGATTATATGAACAAAAACCTGTTTTAGAGGGAGCTAGAGGATGAATACTGTAAAATATAAAATTGTAATATTTTAATACTGATTTGCAGATGTGCATAATTTTAACATAGCTGGTTAAAGTGAATTGTACTGATTCAGAGGTATCCATTTGATGGAAATTAATAAAAACAAATATTGAAAATCATGACAGAATTTTCTTGTCTTATTACAAAAGAATGATATAATTATAAACTAAACTAAACTAAACTAAACTAAACTAAACTGAACTAAACTATAAACTTAAAAAAAATACAAACAAAAAAAAATACACAAAACAAACAAAAAATATGTTTCTTTTGTATATCTCTTAGGGATAAATAAACTTTGCAAAAAAAAGAAAACAAAAGAAAAAAAAACATTGAATCGCTTTTGGTACTGACGCTTAATAACCTAATTATAGTCTATGTAAATCGTTGTACGTGTAAATCATTTATTAAAACTGCGTTTAATGATTACCTAAACGTTTTATGCAAATATAATAAGCGTATAAGTCCATTATAGGCGAAAAAAGGAAAAAAAAAGAAAGATAGAAAGAAAAACAGTCCGTGTTAAGAAAACTTACTTAAACATTATATATTGTATTATAAAGTGAGTAAACCGTTTTTACTCAAAAGCATCGTACATAATTAAAGGTATTATTTGGCCATAAAATAATGGGATATATAATAATACTTAATGATACAGTCAATCAAAAAAAAAAAAAAAAAAAAATAAAAAAAAACAAAGAAAACATATGAAATAAATAATGCATGAACAGTCTAACGAAATGACGGGCCTTTTTACTTTTCTTATACGTTGCTGCTGGATCCACGCTTGAAACAAAACACATCTTGCATGTACACTTTTATTTATCAATAATTGGACCAATTGCATTATATAAGTATATACATACTCTATGTTTATATAAAAACGTTTATAAAATTATGAACTTTTTCTTATGGAGAGTAAAAGAAACATGAAAAAATTCAAATTTTAGTTTAATCAACTTTTAAAAATGCTTCTTCGTCCGACTATTGAGAGAGAGAAAGAAAAAAAAAATATATATATATATATATATAATATTAATTAAAATATATTTCAGATACATATATAAACTCTAATATAAAAGACACATATATTAATGCAATGAAATGGTATTTACTTTGAACATTTTTTTCTCTTGTTTCTTTCTTTTTCTTTTTTGTTCTTTCTAGCGCGCATTAATAATTAATTATTATTGTATCTGTATCTTCAAATTTTATATAAGAAACTAACACATCAGAGTGAAAAAAAGTACACGCTACTTATCTTCTATCGACTGTTTCTCGACTATTGAAAAATAATAATAATAATAACAAAAAATAAAACTAAAAATAATTTTCGCTTGTATAAAATTATATTTACCAGAAAAAAAAATTAAAAAAAAAAGAAAATTATAAGTTAACGCTCGCGTAATATTTAATAATTAGCACATACAATTTAATGAATTATTCATTTATTTATTAATGTTTGAATGTGACAGATTCCTCTTCTTTTTTAATAGCACGAATAAGTGTTAAAGTGAGTACCGCCAATATTACCTGTAACAACGAAATATTCGTGTGTAAATTGTAATTACAAAAGAAAGAAAAAAGAAAAAATGCCACTACTATTTTGTGAAGAAAAAAAAAATATCTACGATTTATTCTTCTTTAAAATATTATTTTATATCTTTTTGAGATATGTCATTTAATATTCATCAATACTCACATGCAACATGCACAAAGAGAGGGCCAAACCAGCAAGCCATCCTGATCTTGCTTCTAAAAACCAAGAAATTTCTTCAACGCAACCATGAAAGAAGGCATTTCCGGTAACAGTGTCACGACATTCGTTTGGCAAAGGTTTTAACATTCTCACGTAATCCATTGGACCATCAGCACCACAGCAACCGACCTATATTATTTAATCCACAAATTTAACATGATCATACATTTTATTGTTATTTGTTTGTCGAAATTTAACTTACATTTTCTTGAATCATTTTAAGAATATCAGCTGCCTTGTCATGTTGAGAATTACTGATAAGATGAATCATTGATCTATATATTATTGGCTGAATTTGGCTATCGTAAGTTGAATAATCAAGAACAACACCAGCACCTGCCAAGCCACATATGAAGCAAAATAGTTGGAGGCCCACATGCTGAAAGAAATGAACTTATTTAAAAAGGGGGGAAAACAATCAGAAAGTATTTAAAATGTAATTTACTACAGAAAGGTGTGTGATACGAAGATATCAATAATATATTGTTTTTTTAATAAATTTTAACTTACAGCAAAGAGACCCATAATGTGTTCCATCAAAGCTGCGCCACATCCTATGAAAGCAATGATTATGACGAATACGGACGTTGCCATTAATACATAAATGCCGATGTAAAATTCATACATGTCCAAGAACATTATCCAATCTTGAAACACTGGCTCAAACCTTAGCCATAAACATAAACCAAACATCGCGCCTCCAAAAATCTACAGATAACATAAATTTCATTAATATCATCTTACACGCTTTTAATTTGTAATAATCGATCCAATCTCTTGTTAGAATATTAACAAATATCTTTTTACACTATATTATAATTTAATTAATGTTTTAATGTGACTGCTCTTAACAGTATGTATAATATTATTTACATGCTACAACACATTTCCCACAATGAAAGTTATATTAATTAATATGATATTTCTTACATATTAAATATTGCACGACGTTATCAAAATCTCGTGTTTCATAATGTTACCTACCCACATAACGGTGTTCAAGCAAAATATTGTAAATTTAATACATTGAATGTGCTGTTCCAGCTGAGGGGTAGAATTTTTCACCACCATTTTGCACAATTTGTTATTACAATAATTATTAATATCTCGCGTAAACAATACACCGTAAACTATTGTTCAAAAAATCGAGAAAATTTTATGAGAGATATCAGATGAAATCAACTGAAACTTGCATAGCTCTTCAATGACATACGTATGAGGCATCTTTATCGCTAACAAATATAAGATAAGTGGATAAGCACGTCCTAGATAAAACGCCCAAGTTTCGTTACGAATCTGATATGATTCACTCCCTTCATGAAGAAAAGAAAAATAAGTAACAGATGATACATATATATATTTTCTAAAAGAAATAATCGTAAAATCTTACTCATGTAGAAATTATATCTATTTAAAAATATATTCTTAATATATTTCATTATTTTACAATAATTGAAAAGATATGGAACAATTTGTTATCAAATATTTCACTGATAATAAATTAATTCATAAAACAATTATTATTTTAGCTTGATAACAACTAAAAATAGAAAAATGATTACTATTACTATAATTAATTTTAATTAATATAGAAAGAGAGAGACGTATTAAAAATATAGAAGAGAAAAATATAAATATCATTACTGCATAACATAAAGACGTATGGTAAGAAATAATACTGGTACACATAGAGACGTGTACATATATATTAAATCCTTTTTTTTTTTTTTTTTAATAAATGGCTTTTTAATCTGAATCATCTATAAATAGATTTGTCACGGTAGGTCGACTAGATTGGCTTGAGGATGTAGTATTTTGTCGACTTCTTGTTGACTGCATCTGTAATGAGAACAAACAAAATCATACAATATAGAACCTTATTCGCAATACAAGTATTTATACAGTAGAAGTATTTATACATTGTATTAATTTTTCTACATGCATTTAGTTGAAATGTTTTTACAAAAAAGAAAAGAAAGGGTTTCAGTATTTGTAAATATATTAGACCTGACCTGTTCTGATAGTTTCGCTTTTTTAAGTGCATTGTCAGAAAGCTTCGAAGTAAAGAATTCTTTTACACTTTTGTTCATCGAAGTAGTTTTGGAACCTCTAGAACCTCTTCCAGTAGTACCTCGGCTACTTCCTCTTCCTCTTGTACTAGTAGTTTTTTTTCCTCTACCTCTACCTGCAGTACTCGTACTTCTTTCATTGTCATTCATTTCATCATTGCTATCATCGATAAGGACCTCATCATTATCATCATTACTATCATCATCATTAGGTTGTGTTCTTTTTTGACTTCTTTTAGATGGTCTGGTTTGCAGGAAATTAATTACCTGTACAAATACATTTCATTAAAAAAATAAAAAAGAAATGAAATTTACAATTAATAATAAATAATATTCACTAACATCTTGACACTCTTCGTCTTCCTTTTGGTTTCTATCATCTCTATATTCCCTTAACTTACTTATAATTTCATCAGGATTTTCTAAATTGCATTTCTTCAAGTATTCTTTAGTCTTACTTATTTGGTTTCTAAAATGTTTGAGTGTATGTTTTTGCATTAAAAAATTTAGAAATTATTTTTTGTATAAAAAAAATAAAATCAAATCTATTACATGTTATTAAATATCTTACTGTATCACATCTTGTATAGAATCTTCATCTGCTTTTACAATATATTGACTTAAAGTTTCATTTAATCCACTAACAGATAAGACTGTTAACAAATTTCTGTTTTCCTCTGAATTAAAGTACTCTTTAATACTTCCTTGAACGCTTTGTGTCCAACCACTTTCTTCCTATTAAGATAATAACGAGATATATATTAGGAGACATTAAATATGTCTTATTTTTATTAGTCACATATTTTCGTATTACGTCTTCAAATTGAAATTTCTCAGCTACATCATCCAACGAAGAATTAAGAAATTCATCTTTACTTGATTTAGAGTTATCAGAAGTTTTACGAAATAGAATCATACTCATTGGATTGAGTACTTCATCGCAATACTTTTGGCCAAGTCTACAAAATATTTCTTTAGTATTTCTGATTATAATTATTTATAAATATTATTATAATTTATTAAAAATATACCCAGTGGTTTCAAATAAATCATTTTCATCTTTATAAAATATTCGTAAACGAACCAAGGGTTCTTTCGGTTGCTTAGGATGACCTGTAATAATATGACATTCAATATAAAATTATTAATATTATATTTCTCTGTAACAAACATTTATAATATATAACATATTTGAAAAAAGTTACCTGTAAATTGTGTTATCACTTTAGGTAAAATTTTATGTTCTATATATTCATCTACATAAGTAATAACAATGTTTGGATTTGCACAGTCTGCATTTCTTCTTTCTTCTATTTCTGGATTTTTATATAAATTGATGGTATCTAATACAAAAGGTCTGACAGTATTTAGTTTTAGTTTTTTCATTTTGAAACGTAACTTATTTATAGATAATAATCCGACATGTTTTGGTACTGTTTCATTCTGACATAATGATGTTGCTATAGAGCTACCTGTATAATTATTATTGATGTTACATAATATAAAAGTATAAAAGCATTGTTACAATGCAAAGGATTATGTAAATAGCATTAAATAAATGTTATACCTGGTTGAGATATAAAATATGGAGCACCTGCAACCGATTCTGGTTCGATACGACACTCATGCTCGTGTCCCCATATAACTAAATTAAGGAATCGTGGTAATTTATTTTCAGGGACAAAATCATTTAATGAATGTTGTACACGATTTTGATGTAATACAAGAATATTGAAACATTCTGGAATTTCTTCTACTTCCTTCAACATAAGCTGTGTAAATATGAATATATTAATTTAATTAATAATAAATTACATATTTTAGAAACAAATATAAACATACCTTGTTATTTTTTAT